ATAAAAATTTTTTTAAAAATATTTTGTGAAAAAACTCTTTTTTATCCTTAATCTCTAATCCTTTATCCTTACCCCCTTTTAATCCTTTATCCTTAATTCCCCTTTTAATCCTTTTATCCTAACCCCCTTTTAATCCTTTATCCTTAACCCCCCTTAATCTTTAATTCTTATGACATAATATAAGTAAAACTATAAGGGAAATCCCTAAAAACAAAAGGGAAAAAAACTTATAAAAACATATTTCAATAACAATAACAATATATTTCAATAACAATAACAGCAATATATAATATACAATAAAAACCTCTATAATTTTAATATATCTCTCAAATGTTCATACTTAAAAATCCATATCATTTTCAAAATTGGCATCATCACCAAAACATTCAAAATCTAAAAGTCAAATCTACTTCAAAGTCAAAGTCTTCAATATATTTCCTTATATCCCCAAACGGATCCTCTGCGTTCGCGTTATTGTTGTTGTTATTCAATTGTTGATGTTCGCGTTGTTGTTGTTATTGTTGCAAAGCGAAAACAAAGTCGAACTCGTCAAGGTCATCAAACGGATCTCTTTCACTTCACGTACTGTTGTCAATAACTGCGGAGGGTTGTTTATCGCTGCCGCTTTGCTCTGTCGCTTCGCTTTGCGTGGTTGCCTCCTCGAGACTGCTCATGTCTTTCTCCAAATGCTCAATCTCCTGTTGAATCTGGTCCTCGATAGTCATAATATCATTGACCTCGGTTATTGAATTGTTCAACGAAGTCATATCTAGGCTACCGTCATTAAACAAGTTCAATCTTCAATCCATCGTTTTTGTTATGTTGTTCACTCGCGGATTCATCTTTGTTATTTCACGATAAACCTTTGAGTATTCAAAAAAAATTTGAGGATATTTCCTCCTTATTCAAATACTCAAAGGCTTATTAAATTTTTCCTTGTCACGTATTCTTTTCTTTCTTATTTTTTCTCTCTCGTTTTTACTTATTGTGCTCTTCTTACGACCCATGGCGATATGAACTAAGTTTTTTGATTGTCGCCTTTTATAGCAAAAAAAAAAGAGGATAATAAAATATCATAGAGGATAACTAAAACAACCAATCGCGTGCGTGTATTAACGATCGGACGTCTAAGGACTAATTTAGAATGTTTTTTAATGCACGAGCCTATAAAAAGACGAGAATGCTCATTAAAAATCACTCTTTGCCATCATGGAAAACGTCATAGCGATTATGGATATGGACGGATTTCGGATCGGCAAGAAATTTTACTGCAAAGAACTAGGATTGTGACGTTTATTAAAGTTTATATTTTTAGTTAAATAAAGTACGCGGTAACTGCCGCTGGTCAGAGTTCTGCGGACGCGTGGAACAAAATAAGAAACGTTGCGAACACGTTTTTGTCTTTGATCGAGAAAATACAGCAAGTTTAAATTTGATTTAAGTCACAAGTTTCTACCTTATAGCCTAAGTTTATCGTCGATATCAGATGTAAGTTACGTCATGATTATTTGCGCACCTTTTTCATACAATTTTAGTCGCAGTTTTAGCTCTTATTTACATATTTCTTTGTATTATTCATAGTTTTTACCGCTCTGTTTACGTGTACCTTTGTTGAATAAATCAATGTTAAAAATGGAGTGTTGTGCACAACTGAGTGGTTAAAACATGCGAACTTGACGCATCAGCAACCTCGTGATGTGTTGAGAACGCGACAGTAAAAATTCTGATCATAAAGGATAAAGAAATCTCGTATAGAGGGTAAGCCAGACCTCGACATTCATACGACCATGAATAACCAAGGTGACAAAGACTTGTCTGAGCCCAGTCAAGCACAAAACATAGTTTGTGGAGATATGGAGAATCAAAAGAGGAGAATCACTCCGTCAAATAAAGTGTTTCAAAACACTGTCAATGACAAACTTGAAATAGCTATTTGCAAACGCAGCGAATTAACTGCATTAGTGAAGAAATTCGAAGAATGCGAAGACTACATTACTGAGAAACGTATAGAACACCTAACACAGATAACTGAGGAGTACGAGCTCATAGTAAGCGAACTGAGATGTTTGTTTGAGCAAGATAAATATGGGATTTTTAGAGAAGAAGCTGATTGGTTACAAAAGGAACAAAACATTACTAAAGCATATAGTATAATTAAGAAAGCAAAGACCATACAATCTGATAGACGCTCGGTAACCCCTTCATGGCGCACAAAATCTCGATCGCACCGCAGTTCGCGATCATCTTCCTCATCAAGTAGCCGCACTAGATTGGCTGCCTTAGCTGAAGCAGCCGCAGCTCGTGAAAGCGCAGAGTATGAACGAGTGATGGCAGCGAAAGAGCATGATTGTCGCCAGCGAGAGCTAGATCATGCAAAAGAAATGGCAATACTAACCGCAGACAAAAAGGTAGCCATTGCCAACGCGAAATTGAAAGCCATTGAAGAAGGATTGCAAGAGGAGGAGTTAGCACAAAGAATTAAACTTCCAGAAATTCCAGAGGCGAGAGTAGAGGAAAGAACAAGCGACTGGGTAACCTCGGTTGCTTCGCAAGGAGATGTCGGAGAAGTTCCTCCTCCCAATGTCATTGAAGACCCCCATGTACCCAGCGATCCAATTCCACCAGCAACCTTCGTAGATGGCCTACAAGTTTCCCATAGTCCCACTACGAACCTCCATGACCTTGGCCCATCAACAGGTTTCAATCCGTACAATCCTCGCGTTTCCCTCAGTCCTGCTACGAACCCTGTTAGCCAAGCCCCGTCTATAGGTGCCAGCCACAAACTTCGCGTTTCCCATGGCCCATCCACAAACCTTACAAATACAGACCCAGTGATAAGTGCAATTAATAGTCCACCTTGTATGGCCAACCAGGTTTTCGTTTCCCAAGCCTACCACAACCCTGCCACTAATTTTGACGGCACAGTACCACTGTGGAGCGCAAGCAGTTACCCACAGCAAACACCTAATAACCTGATACCTACCACCCCACTTGGCGCAGTTGGAGATACAACCGGAAGTCAACTAATAGTCGCTGATGTCTGCGAACCGACAAGTAGTCTCTGGCCTGGCAAGACAGAACTTACCAAAGTGCCATCCAGACATTTTTGCTGGTGATGCAACACTCTTTAACCCCTGGAAGAGAGCCTTCAAAGCCATGGTCAAGGACACTTCCGTCACCGCTGAGCAAGAAATTAATTATCTACGCAGTTTCACTCGCGGAGAACCCCAACGTGTTGTAGACAATTTTAGAAAACGATATCAGACTGACCCTACAACCCTTCTTCAGGACCTCTGGAAAGAGCTAGAAGTGCGCTTTGGAAGCGCAGCTGTCATAACGAATGCCTTATTGGAACGCCTACACAACGCATCGAATTTTCAGGAGAAAGATCACGCAAAGCTGCAAGAGTTTTCGGACCTATGTATTGATGTGAACAGTCAAGTCGAGAATCTACCTGGACTAGCCTGCCTACACTACCCTGGGGCAATCCGTCCGATTGTCGCAAAATTGCCAACATCCCTGAAAACGAAGTGGGACAAAGAAGTCGTCAAATACGCTGAGACTCACAACGACGCGTATCCAGGCTTTGGTGTTTTTACTCGGTTGGTAAAAGCTCAAGCGAAGATCAAAAACCATCCAAACATCCTTGCTGGCGTCCCCCAGAAGCCAATTTTCGAAAGACATAGAGAAAAACCCAGAGATCAAAGGGCTCTACGAACAAATCTGGGCGTTGAAACTGACCCCCACCAGAACTCTCCACCAACACCCACCAAAAAGTGGTGCCCCTACCACAAGTGTGATCGTCATGGACTAACAGAGTGCAAAGCGTTTGCTACAAAAACAGTAAGCGAAAAAACGGAGTGGATACAGAAAGCAGGACTATGTTTCAGGTGTCTGAAAGAGGGACACCGAGCGAAGCAATGCAAGGTTAAAGTCAGCTGCACTACGTGCGGGAATGATCGCCATCTGGCACTGTTACATAAAGAGAAGGAAGACAAAGAAAATAATAAAGATGATAAGAAAAGACATTCTGACGGCGAGGAGAGCGGAACCGAGCAAGTGAATAATACATGTACAGCTGTATGCAGAGAGAACAACGGTGGTATCTCTTGCAGCAAAATCCTGCTTGTTGACATTCTCAAACCTGATCAACAAAATGAATCCTGCCGAGTATATGCGATCGTCGACGACCAAAGCAACACCTCTCTCATCAGCAGTGAGCTAGCAGACAACTTGGAGCAGATGGTCCAAAGGAAAAATACTACCTGTCGACCTGCAGTGGCAACAAAGAAATCAAGTTTGGTCGAAGAGTCCCTGGCCTGGTCGTGAAATCCGCTTCAAATGGTAGAGAAGCTCCCCTACCACCACTTGTGGAGTGTGACAACTTCCCTGAAGACAAGAAAGAGATACCCACCCCTGAAGTAGCGCGGAGGTTCCCACATCTTCAAGACATCGCTAAAGAGATACCCCAGCTAGACGATAGAGCAGGCGTACACGTCTCCTTGGTCGTGACGCACCTGAGCTGCTAAAAGTCCGAGCTTTCAAGAATGGCCCAAAGGGTGCCCCCTGGGCTCAGAAGCTACTGTTGGGATGGACCATCACCGGTCAGGTATGCTTGAATTTCCTGAATGGTCCAGTCCACATCGAAGCTCGCAAGGCAAGCATCGCCTTAGGCAAGAAGAGAGAGCAGGAGTTTCAGCCTCCGTGGGAGCAGAGGGAGTCGAGTACCACGTTGTTCCTTGCCCAAACCGACTGGAGATCACAAATAGTGTAACAGCGCGTAACGTGTTTTGCTCAACTCCGATAGACAACGAAGTCAGCCTTTCTATTGAAGATCGGAAATTCCTCGAGATAATGGAGAGAGAGGTCCACAAAAACAGTACCGGACATTGGGAGATGCCCCTACCATTCCGCGAAACGAACCTGTTTTGCCGAACAACCACCCTCAAGCTGTTCATCGTCTCAACGGCCTACTAAAGACCCTGAAGCGCAAGCCACAGATGGAGAAGGATTATTTAAGGTTCATGGAGACAATGTTAACTAAGGGTCACGCAACACCAGTGCCACCAGAGGAACGACAAGGGAAGAGTGGTCGCGTTTGGTACCTGCCACACTTTGGAGTGTACCACCCCAAGAAGCCGACGAAAGTACGTGTGGTGTTCGATGCTTCAGCAGAATTTGATGGAGTATCGTTAAACAAAGTTCTGTTACCCGGCCCTGATCTTGTGAACAGTTTGCTTGGTGTCCTGATTCGCTTTCGCAGAGAAAGAGTGGGAGTAATGTGCGACATCGAGCAGATGTTTTATTCCTTCTTCGTCAGTCCTGAGCATCGTGACTACCTACGATTCCTCTGGTACCAAGACAACGACCCCCAGAGGCCAGTGATTGAGTATCGCATGAATGTCCATCTTTTCGGAAACGGACCCAGCCCAGCAGTGGCCACGTTCGGGTTACGAAAAACCGCTTCAGACGAAAAGCATGGCAAAGGAGTTAAGGACTTTGTGCACCGTAACTTCTACGTTGACGATGGCCTCGCAGCTGTTCCCACTGCAGAAGAAGCTGTCAACCTCATCACCAGCACACAAGATGCCCTAGCAACCTCGAATCTAAGGCTGCACAAAGTTGTCTCCAACTCGGTCGATGTCATGGAAGCTTTTCCGATAGAAGACAGAGCGACAGGCGTACGCGATCTAGATCTTCGACGAGATGCCCTTCCAGCCCAAAGATCCCTTGGTGTCTATTGGAACCTGGAGAACGACACGTTCACGTTTCAGGTGACCCTTCCACCTAAACCATTCACTCGCAGAGGAGTTCTCTCCATGATCAACAGCGTATACGACCCCCTCGGAATGGCAGCGCCGGCCATGTTGGAAGGAAGAAAACTACTCCAGCAGCTGATAGCTACTAGCAAAGGTCCTAATGGGAAAACCCCCCTTGGATGGGACGACCCACTTCCCGAGAACATAATGAACCGTTGGCAGTGCTGGAAAGACTCCCTACAAGACCTTGAGCGCGTCTCAGTTCCCAGATGCTACCGCCCAAAAGAGTTTGGCCCAATGGCAAGAGCAGAGCTGCATGGGTTCTCAGACGCAAGTCAGGACGCAATCGGAGCATCAGTATATCTCAAGCTTTGGAATGAGCAAGAAGCAGTGTCTGTATCGTTCGTCTATGGTCAAGCTAGATTGGTGCCGACCCATCCTGTCAGTATACCACGCTTGGAGTTATGCGGAGCAGTCTTGTTGGTCGAGGCAGTGCAAAGGATATTGAAAGAAATTGACATTGAAATTACCCAAGTCATATACTACACTGATTCAAAGGTGGTCCTTGGCTACATTACCAATGAGAGCAAGCGTTTCTACGTCTATGTTGCAAATAGAGTCCAGCTGATACGAAGTCTGTCATCGCCAGACCAGTGGAGATATATCGAGAATGAACGCAACCCAGCGGACCTTGCGACACGCGGCGTCAAACCCAGCAAACTGATGGAGTCAACCTGGCTAACGGGGCCAGAATTCCTAGAAATCACAGACAGTGTCTATCTTCCGAACGAGATTGAGGTTCCGAGTGAGAATGATCCTGAGGTACGAAAGGAAGTCACAAAGACAACTGAAGTGAACAGGGATAGCAACGCCGAAGGATTGGGGGCGAAAAGGTTTGAGCGATTCTCGAGTCTCTCGTCGCTCCAGCGTGCGATTGCAACCCTCATACTCAAAGTAAGAAGGTTCAAGCAACGAAGAAACCCACTCCAAACGAACCAAACCGTGACGGATAAGGACGCACTGCAACACCCGAGTACGGAGATGTTGACGCAGGCGATGGCGGTGATAGTTCATACAACACAAAGGGAGAAATTCAGCCAGGAGCTGCAACAGCTACAGCGATCACCAACGAATCAAGACTCGAGGCAACGCGAAGAAATCGTCACAGATAAAAAGTCTCAAAGAAGCACTCGCCTATACCGACTTGACCCATTCGTAGATAGCAATGGAATACTCCGCGTTGGCGGACGTCTGCGGCGAGTGGAGTTCGAGTTAGGAGAGAAACACCCCATCATCTTGCCACGCAACGACCACGTATCCAACCTGGTAGTACGACACCACCACAGTAAAGTGCATCATCAAGGGAGGTCCATCACCCGAGGCGCGGTTCGCCAAGCTGGCTACTGGATAGTTGGAGGATACCGAGTTGTATCGAAAGAAATACATTCCTGCGTGACCTGCAAAAAATTACGGGGCCGACCTTTAGAGCAGCAGATGGCCGACCTACCTGCAGACAGAATGGAGGTTGGACCCCCCTTCACCAACGTCGGGTTTGACGTGTTCGGTCCATGGGAAGTACATACGAGGAAAACTAGAGGCGGTGCGGCCAAGTCGAAGCGTTGGGGTCTGGTATTCACCTGTCTTGCAAGCAGAGCGATACATATCGAGCTCCTAGAGTCCATGGATGCAAGTGCCTTCATCTGTGCTCTCAGGCGCTTCTTCGCACTACGAGGCCAGGCGGCACTACTTCGTTGCGATCGAGGGACGAACTTCATCGGAGGGAAATCGGAGTTAGAGGATGCTTTCAACGATATGAAGCTTGGAAAGATCGAAAGGTTCGTGACAGAACAAGGTTGCAAGTGGGAACTAAATCCGCCGCACGCATCCCACTTCGGCGGCGTATGGGAAAGGCAGATCGGGACCATTCGTCGCGTTTTGGAGGGCATGTTCGTTGAACTCGGCAAGGCTCAGCTAACCCACAAGCTCTTGTCAACCTTGATGGCGGAGGTAACAGGAATTGTCAATGCTCAGCCGCTAACCGCTATACCAACGGACGTTGACGATCCACAGCCTCTATCACCCGCTATGTTGATTACCATGAAGACCCGTCCTTTAGGTCCTCCACCTGGCAACTTCCTACCTACGGATTTGTACGCACAACGTCAGTGGAAGCGGGTACAGTACCTCGCAGACCAGTTCTGGCTGAGATGGCGTCGAGAGTACCTCCAATCTCTTCAGTCAAGGAAAAAGTGGAACCAGCCGCAGAGAGATCTCATCGAAGGAGACATCGTACTAATGAAGGATGGAGAATATCGTAATGATTGGCCCCTCGGACGAGTGACGGACGCCGTAAAAAGTGAAGACGGAAAGGTGAGAAAAGCGTACATCGCGATCGAGAGAGACGGCCAGAAAAAAGTCATGTTTCGCCCCATTAAGGAGCTGATTCTTCTCATTCCTGCAGATAAAGTTAAAGACGGTGAAAAGTAGCAAGGATGTAATCATCCTTGGACGAGGAGTGTGACGTTTATTAAAGTTTATATTTTTAGTTAAATAAAGTACACAGTAACTGCCGCTGGTCAGAGTTCTGCGGACGCACGGAACAAAATAAGAAACGTTGCGAACACGTTTTTGTCTTTGATCGAGAAAATACAGCAAGTTTAAATTTGATTTAAGTCACAAGTTTTTACCTTATAGCCTAAGTTTATCGTCGATATCAGAAGTAAGTTACGTCATGATTATTTGCGCACCTTTTTCATACAATTTTAGTCGCAGTTTTAGCTCTTATTTACATATTTCTTTGTATTATTCATAGTTTTTACCGCTCTGTTTACGTGTACCTTTGTTGAATAAATCAATGTTAAAAATGGAGTGTTGTGCACAACTGAGTGGTTAAAACATGCGAACTTGACGCATCAGCAACCTCGTGATGTGTTGAGAACGCGACAAGGATTAATGGGGCTAGATTACATTGAAGCTATGTCTTTTTTATTTAATATACCAATTGCGTGGAAAGATCTCAACGAAAAGGACAAAAAACATTGTATGTTTGTAATAAACAACATACACAAACTACCATACAATGGTCCTTTCAACGAAACCAAAATACATCAAGCCAGTGAAATCAAAAGCATCATCACCTCCTTCTACGCAAGCCTGCAAATAGATGAAGAGAGTAGCATCGGTTATAAAGGGGGTGTGATCGAGAAAGAACTATTAACAAAACTACAGATACCGAACATTAATCTAGAAATATTTGGGGCCCCAAAGCAGTACGTTCCCTGGATAGAAGCAAACTCCTTTTTAAAAGATGAGGAAAAAGACCAAATCATGAAAACATGCGGGAACCATTTACCTTGTACGAACGCGTATGAACATTGCCCAAAGGCAGAACTGCAAATACTAAACAATTGGATATTTTACTACCGTTTGTAAAATATATTTTATTGTTTTAATATTACATTATTTGTAAGTTTTTAACATTTGTATATATTCAAACGTTTATAAATATACTGTTTTAACAAAGTGTGTTAGTTTGTTTATTTTAGTTCAAGTCTATAAATATATCAGAACTAAAAAAGGGTCCTTCAAACATGTCCATTAGTTCAATTTTCGCTACTCTATCCCATCTTTTTGGTTCTTTAAAAATCACCATGTCTTTTAATATATTGTCAACCCCGTCGCATACTTTATACGCCGTAAAAAAACCACTCTGTGCAATGAAATTCATACCTTTCGCCATAACGTCAATGTAAGTGCTCCTAGCCCCGTCCCATATGGATTTATTAATTTGATTCCTTAAACATACACAATAAAGACATCGTCAATTTGAACTATAATTTTGCAGTCAAACATCCCTGTCGGTAACCTCAAAACAAGTTTATGTTTCCACGTACTTGCATATTGTTTAGATGAGGAAGACTCGTGAGTTGTAAAATAAATAGGAATCTCGACACAATATTTCCCGGGGGGGGGGATATTTACATATTCCATAAGAATCTCGCGTACATCCGTTTTAAACATATGATAAACAAAATACATAAACACCAATCTCAACGCCTGCACTAATGGATTCCTTAACATGTGAGCTCTCAAAATACATACAAAACAAAGAAGAGAATCAATATCCAGCAGTCGTATGTAAGATTGTTGAAATATAAATATATTCCTAATATCCCTTGCAGTAGGTTCTTAAATATTAAGTATAGCATCTTGAATCTTGTTTAATACAACGTTTATGTTCATCATGTCATAATAACCAATCGCAATAAAAAACATACAACTTTATACATATTTAAAGACGCGTGCTTTATTTACATAACGCATGCATTTAAAAACGCATACTACGTATATCACGCGCAAATTGAGTTGAAAAATACCAACTCAAACATACCCTTACTAATCTATCACATCTCTTAGCATGTCTAAAACATAACACCTTCTGCAATACATTTTCAATATTATTACATAACAAAAAAATTCTCAACGATGAACTTTGTACAATAACATGACCTATAGCTGTAAAATTAATCGCGTATCTCCTTACAATTAGGATTTCTCATTTGCATTCCATAAAGTTTATTATTAATTTGAACAATTGTTGAGTGATTGAATTTGGTACAATTAAACATGTTCCTCGGTACTCTCAAAACAATCATGTTATTAAAAGTATCTATATATTGATCATATATAGGCGACGTAAAATAAATTGGAACCTCCACACAATATTTTCCTGGGCATATATGAATATAATCCATAAGAATCTCCATCATATCCTCCTTTAATATATGTTGAACCATATACATGAATACTAATCTCAGCGCCTGCACAAGCTCGTTTCTAAACGGGTGAACTCTTAAAACAACCACAAATGTAAAAAGAGAATCCACATCCCAAGGACGAATTAGAGCACCAATACCAAAACACATCTTGGTAATATCTCATTTTGTGGACATTTTATATTAATCACCGCACTTTGAATTTGATTAACAATAACATTACACACACCCCTCATTGTAAAAAATGAAAAAATATAAAAATATGAAAACATTTTAAACATTTTACAAAGACCGCTTTTTAAAAAAGAGCACCACTTTTTAAAAAAGAACATGTGCATAAATATGACGTCATTATTCTATTAAACACGTGTATCTACGATGTCACACATACAAACACGTGTATATATGACGTCACATCCCACGATAAAAATCCCACGATAAAAATCCCACGATAATAAAATCCCACGATAAAATCACACGAAATCCCACTAAATACCCACTATAACACTACTTAGATCACTGAGAAAGGTCTCAAACCACATGAAGTGAGGTAAAATGCAAATGTTTGAAACGCAGGGATGCTCGAACAAGAGTGGGGTGAAAGAATCATTTTCCAGTACTTGCACAACAAAACCACTGAAGATTGCCACATCTACTGGAAGAACTACTGACTTTGAGAATTAATTCAGAATATTATCTCAGCCGTTTTCACATAAGTCCGCAACAAACCAGTCAAAGCAAGTCACAACTGGGAATTCCCAAACTTTTTCCAACACTTGACAAATATAGACTCCCTCCTAGCAATATACTCGTGAAAAATGTAGATGAAAGAATTTGAAAAAAACGACAAGTTGAACAAACCAGGCAAATTTTATACTGTTTCAATTTTTCCAATACCTATTCTCATCCTTCCTGTGCTCACATCAGGAAAAAAAACCTTTTTTCATGGCATTGTAACCATTGATCATTATACATGTAATTGCCGTAAAGAGGCACATTGGCAGTATGTTAGCAACCTTGACTTCCAAAATTTGTAAGATGACCCTGGTTTAGACAAGGTGTAGATAAGAATGTAAAATGGGTGCATGTAGCATAACAAATTAATATTTAAGGTGGCTCGATACAGTTTTCAAGAATTCTATTGTTCATCACTTTGACACGTTCAAACAACGCATTTTTGTGATTTATTCCAGAGATATTCGGGTTTTTATATATTTTGATGTCTCTACTTTTGAATCGTATTAGTTCAGTAACAGATCGTCCGTTGCTATGGCAACATACGTGTACAAAATTCACTCCAAAATGGCCAATTGCCTTGGATAGTTGGAAAACAAGCACGGTGACCCACAATTTTTTTTCGTGCATTATTTTACTTGGAAGAAAAACTAACAATTGGCAAAAAATAAAAAAATTCTATAATGCCAAATTTTTGAAAAATCTTTTTTTTTGCTATTATAGAATTTTTTTATATTTTGCCAATTGTTAGTTTTTCTTCCAAGTAAAATAATGCATGAAAAAAAATTGGGGGTCACTGTGCTTGTTTTCCAACTATCCGAGGCAATTGGCCATTTTGGAGTGAATTTTGTACACGTATGTTGCCATAGCAACGGACGATTTGTTACTAAAACTAATACGATTCAAAAGTAGAAACATCAAAATATATAAAAACCCCAATATCTCTTGAATAAATCACAAAAATGCGTTGTGTGAACGTGTCAAATGGATGAACAATGAAAAGGGTATGGCCCAATAATGCAGACTTTTGAGTTTACATTTTATGTCTATGACATATCTGTTGGATGGTTGGAGAGTGGAAATAAATAAAACAAAAACTTAACGTTATTGTAAAGAAGTATGTAAATAATACTAATGCTTTGGGCTTCTTTAACTCTTTAATTGGCTTGAAATTTTTCAACGCATAAATGCCGTATATTTTGCGGACTTATTATGGTGTAGTTCTTTTTTGATTTTAGGCTTTAAAATTTTGCATTGTATTCATCATACAAGTTTCCAGGATGCTGGGTAATGCCTAATTTGGGTATCAGGGGGTGCCGGAAGGGTGCAATAATATTTTGGGCCATCTTAAACCTTTGAAAATGATTGTATGTATTTTGGTAAAATGATGAAGAGCGGGTGGAAGGTATGAATGTGATGGAGCTACAATTGTCCACAAAATATATTGAGACTTTTCAAATTATGCCCCCCTTCTCCCTATATCAATGTTGTAGGACGTGTACTAACGCTAACAAAGTGTAAATTTGCCCTAAAATGACGTAGGCATGTGTAGCCATTGATTCCCAATTAGTTACTTTAAGGTTGAACAGGTTATATTAGAAACAACATTGAAATAGGAGGAGGGGATGTTTTTGTCTCAGATATTATGTGGACGATTGTCTGAATTTGGATGATATTTGAGCAGAGGTTTTTTATGATTAAAAACAAATATTTTACGGGACAGCACTTATGTTAATCGGTAGCTTTTCAATAATGTATATTGACTACAATTTGCTTAGCATTACGAGCGCCTCTGCACGTTTTATTCCCTACTTCAGGCTAAGAAGTATTAAGAAATGTTAGGTACACGACTTACTTTTGCCACTCCTTGTCTTTTCACATCCTTTCTCGGCATTATTTGCAGTAAGATATTCGCAATTTACAGCATGTAAGTTTTTGTTATTGTCTCATTTAATGCATAGTTCTAGAACCGTAAGT